ATACCTCTTCTGCTCCGCTCCAAGGCCTTCTGGGACTCGGCGTCACGCCTGACCGCCTCATCGCCCGCCTGGTCTCGGCCTCAAAGCTCGCACCAGCTCGCGAGCGCGACCCTGCTCATCCTCGATAAGGGCCACGGTGGACACGGCCCAACCCTGAGAAGAGCACAATCATGACAAAGCAACATCGAGGACTAAGTGCAATAAAGGAAGTCACAAGCAAGAATACATACCTCGATGGTACGGAGGGCCTCTCGAACGATAGCGGGCAAGCTCCGCGTCGTGTGCTCGGCAGGCGGCAGCGGGGGCGGTACAGCTGGCGGTACAGGGGACGACTCGCCTGCGGCCGCCCTCCCGGTGGCGGCGCACCAGGGCTCAGAAGGGGGGGGCGCCAGACTTCGCGGTAACCTTCTGTCTCTTCGCAATAGGGCACGCGCCACGACGCGCTCAAGGCGCTCATGGAACGAAGACATGATGGGAGATCTCGCTGCAAAAGGAGACGAGCAAGGTTAATCCATAAGCCATATGTACAAACGATGGTCTAGCAAAGGAAGGGGAACAAACCACGAGTAGAGGCACGCGTGGGCCGACAGTGGACCCGGAGGACCTGGGCTCGGCAAAAACCTCGCCCGAAGACCCCGAGGATCCGGGGACTGCTCTGGCGGCTCATCGTCGGATAACTCGATCAAGGGACGCGCGTCCGACTGGGTGTACGCAGACGGCGCGGGCGAACGAGGCGGTAGCGGCCCATCCGACACAAAGCCCAGGCTACGCATGTTCTCCGGCGTAATCATCTCGCCAATGACAATCTCTCCCCGATCGCCCCGGAAGGCATGGACGTCCCGGGCTAAGGCGGCCGTCTAGAGCGGGTCCTGTGGCGCACAAACCTGTTGTTCCAAGATAGGAACGGCCGACGATCGCCGACCGAGATGAAGACAAAGTGCGGTTTCCAATCCCTGTTGGTCTGATTGAAGTCATGGAACGTCTTCATACGCGCCCGGGCCGCTATACCCCACGAACCCCTTACTGGCCTGGCCGGAGGACGAAGTGACTTGAAACAAACTCTGGAAGAGATCCAGGTAGGGCTTGACACGAATGGTGTGGCAGCGAAGCAAGAAGGCAAGAAGTAGGTAATGGGCATTCACACAACTGCCCGGGTGCAATGCCGTAATGGTTAAGAAAGGATTCGACGAAGGCATGAATAGGGAAGCGAAAACCGAGGTACAGGGACTGCACGTGAACCCCGAAGAAGAGGGGTGTCGGAGGCTCGGTGACATTCCCCGACAGGGAAGGCAGGCGTACCTCGCCGCAGACCCAACATAGCGTTCGGCCTCCTCAAACTCCTGCACGGAGGTCCGAGCCAAAGTCGAGGTCGCGACGAGTGTCTCCAGAGGGGTGTACTGGACAGGATCCTCGTACGGGACCGCAAAAGGGTCCTCCATGACGGGAGTATGGGCGTCCAACGGACCCTCGTATGGCATGGTGACCTCCCCAGAGGAGGAATGAGCGGGAAAAGGAGTGGGGGGTCGCTGGTTTCGTCCATGGGAAGGATGTGAGTGTCTACGGAGTCCAAAAAATCGTCCAAGGAACCGGAAGAAGTGTACATGCACCAACTAAACCTACGAGATAAAAGAGAAGGGGTTTATATAGGAGAGAAGGAGATGAAAAGAGGGGGAGTTTTGAAATTCAAAATGCAAAAAAGGGGGGAAAGGTGAAGAGATGGATGTGATTGGTTGACTTGGAGGAGATGATCAAAACCTAGGAGGACTCTACTGTGTATGTGTCCTAACAGATGAAGGAGTCGTATTCCGGATGGAGTTTTTCATCATTATCGCGAGAAGTACACCTGGACGGCACCAATAACGCAGGGACGCGGGCGTCTCGGGGTCGGCATTTTGTTAGGTCGGCCAGAGCATCTACTCTCCTTCACTGACGATTACTCGCAGCTCGGAGAGTGGGGGACTGATGACGGATATATTAGGAACCGACCCGCACCGACCCGAGGGCGCGGACAAGGGTCCCGGGGCGGCGCCACGTACCCGCCCGGACGGGCCTCGCCACATGGCCCCGCACGGGCCACGTCGGAGGCCGGGCCGGCCTCTCCAGGAGGCCGGGCCGACCCAAATGGGGTCGGCCTGGCCCACAGCACGGCCGGCGCGGTCAACTCGGATCTAACCACCCCCGCTTTAAGGGGTGGCGGTTAGGGGCGGGGTTGTATAAAAACCCCACCTTGTCTAGTTAGGACACGATCTACATTTCCTACATACTTTGTCCTAAAATACTACTGCAATAGCCAATTCTACGGCATTTAATACAATCTACAGTCTCATGGCCTTTACTATATCATTCGTATCATTTATTTATTATTCGTATCCTTATTCGGGTTAGTTAAGTCGGACCCCGGTTTAATTAAATCCATCAAAGATATATTTTATAATATATAAACTTTGTATGTTATTATTTTTTGTTACACACATTTTTATATATTAAAATCAATCATTTTTTTAAATGTTAAACAAATCAACATTGTTTGAGTTTTGCTATTATCAACAATTATTTTATTTTCATATATATATATATATATATATATATATATATATATATATATATATATATATATATATATATATATATATATATATATATATTTTGTCCGTGCATCGCACGGGTGGATAACTAGTATATATAATAATAATAATAATAATAATAATAATAATAATAAAAACTATTATTTTTATTATTTATTATTAGTAGCAATTTTCATTTTTCATTTGTATAACGGATTCATTGTTCTGAGGAGATTTCTGAACAGAAAATAAAAGCTGCTTTGGAGATTTTCACGGACAAAATAGCGAATGCCACTCTCAGATGATATGACTTGATCTAGGTAGTAAATGACTGAAAACGCCAACCATTCCGTGATTGCGATAATTAGAACCTCTCGCATTACATTTGTCCTATAACGTAACTCGGATATTTTCAGTGGAACGCTTGGAATCACTGGTAAAATCTATTGTGCAGCTAACAATGGTCTCCTCATCGTCAGATCCCACGGACGATGGCAGTGTTGGGGTCTCAGAGACGAGACGAAGCCGCCAAAGATCGATCGCATGGTGATAGAGAACGGAGAGAGGGAGGCGATGATGAGCGGAGATCAGAACAGCCAACCTTGCCCAGGCCAGCAGTCTTACCCGCATCGGCATGGGTGTTCATACCCTTTAAGCGCCTTGAATCACTGGTAGCAACACCCTTCTCCATCCTTTACCTTTTTTATCACTCTTTTCCGGGGAGAGCCTTCTCCTTCAAATCTGTATTAAAGGATCGTCTTCTACTTCTTGTAAGAAACCAACACATACTCAGGGTTCAAAATCATCCAAGCCGTCAGGAAAGGCGATTCAATCCATAAAGTTCAATCTTGAGAGATGTATGTTCTTAAACTTTTGTGGATATGTTGGCTTAGAAGATGTAGTTGTTGCAGACCCCAAACGTGTAAATTATGGATCCCAAGGTGGTCGAATCTTAATCTTTCGCAACGAATTATATATATATATATATATAATTAATTAATTAATTAATTAATTTGTAAAAAAAAAAAAAAATACATTTAGCTTGATGAAGAATTGCAATTTGATGCAATGGCGGAAGTGATGCGATGACATAGAGAAAGAGAGAGAAATAAGCATAAAAGTTTAGGTTAAAAAAGGGTAAAAAGAAAATAAAAAAATATAATAAAAAAAACTATTCCTAAGAGTTTAGAGATAGGTTAATATCAGGGAGAGGCCAGTAATAGCTATTCCCTCTGTAGAAGGAATGGGTCATTGACAGGAACAATGTTCATGGAATACAAATGTTCACCAAACTGAATTTTGAAGGTCTTTTTTACGTGGATGGAGGGGGGCGTGGTGGAGGACTTGCTCTTCTCTGGAGATATAAAAACGTGGCAAACCTTATTAGTTTTTCAAAAAACCACATCGACGTTCAAGTACGGCTGCCTGGCAGCAATGCTTGGAGGTTGACGGGTTTCTATGGTTTCCCGGAGAGAGAGAGATCATCAACGCTCCTGGGATCTTTTGCGTTTTTAGCCGTAAGTCTGATCTCCCTTGGTTGGTGCGGGGGATTTCAATGATATTTTGTCCCCAAATGAGAAACGCGGCCAACCCCGCATCCCACTGCCTTGATAGATGTTTTTACTCGTGCCTTAGATGATTGTCGACTCTTTGACCTGGGTTTGAAAGGGAGACAGTTCACTTGGGAACGTGGACAGGGGACAGAGCACTAGGTGGAGGAAAAGCTTGATAGGGCTGTAGCAGGAGCGGACTGGAGGGTTATGTTTGATCGGGCAGAGGTTCGTAACTATGAGGTTTTGACATCCGATCATACTGCGATTTTGTGGAACTTGAGGGCCCTAGGATGGGGCGCAAAGAAGGAATTTTATGTTTGAAAATGCTTGGCTCCAAGATTCTGGTTGTAAAGATGTGGTTCTAAACGCTTGGAATGCTACAATTGGTGATGTTCTACCTGGCCGTTTAGATCACTGTGGTGCCTCACTGAAACTTTGGGGAGGCAGTCTAGTGCAGTGTATTGATAAGGAAATAAGTCAACTGCAATGGAGCTTAAATCTTCTTCGTGAGAGACGTGATAGCCATGGATTAACATTGTTCGGGGAAATGAATATCAAATTGAATGGCTTGTATGATCAGCAGAACATTATTTGGCGACAAAGGGCAAAGCAATTTTGGTTATCTAGTGGAGATAGAAACACTAAGTACTTCCATCTCTACGCATCCGCACGGAAAAGGAAGAACAATATTGCTAGACTAAAAACTGAAATGGAGACTGGCTTGAAGGGAATGCTCTGTTGGGACTGGTCAATGATTACTATACTGATATTTTTACTACGAGAGGAGAAACAGACTGCTCACCTTTGGATGGTCTCGTTAACAGAATTTCGCCCAACGATAACGAGCAGCTCTTAAGACCCTTTTCGTTGGAAGACGTCAAGGATGCCCTTTTTTCTATGGCCCCTGATAAATCCAGGACCAGATGGTTTTAGTCCCGCTTTTTTTCAACATTTTTGGAGCGAGATAGGGGATGATGTGGCTCGGTTTATTCTTGGTTATTTAAATGGACAGAATTGGCCTACGGGGATGAACGATGCTCATGTAACTTTGATTCCTAAGAAGTCCACACCAGTCTATATGGGGGATCTCCGACCAATTGCGCTCTGCAATGTGACCTATAAGATATTATCAAAAATGTTGGCTAATAGACTCAAAGAAGTCCTGAATGGGGTTATATCTGCCGAACAGAGTGCTTTCTTGCATGGCCGGCTTATAACCGATAATGTATTTATTGCCTCGGAGGTTATTCACTACTTACACCGGAAAAGACAAGGAAACACTGGTTGGTGTGCACTGAAGCTTGATATGGCCAAAGCTTATGATAAGATGGAATGGGGTTTTCTAAGGCAGATTATGTTACATATGGGCTTTGCAGACCAGTGGGTTGAAATTGTTATGAAATGTGTCACAACCGTGCGCTATAGGGTGGGTTTAAATGGCCATCAAACTGATCACATCCTACCATCCCGAGGTCTACGTCAAGGTGACCCTTTATCACCATACTTATTCATCTTTTGTGCAGAAGGGTTGGGTACTTATTGGGGAAGGCAGTTCATAATCGAGAGATTTCCCCGTGTGTGGTGGCGCGTGGTGCTCCCGGAGTGTCTCATCTTTTCTTCGCCGACGACAGCCTCCTCTTTTTCAAAGCAACATCTTCTGAGGCTATTAGTGTGAAAGGATGCCTCACGGCATATGAGGCAATGTCTGGCCAAAGCGGTTAACTGCAGCAAATCATGCGCTATCTTTAGTCCTAATACATCCGCTGAACACAAGAGTGCAGTCATTACTGCCCTTAATATCATAGCCGTGGAGAATCTTGGCAAGTATTTAGGATTGCCATTGGGGATTGGTCGAAACAGGAAGGAGGTGATCGCTTATCTGGAGACCAAGCTGAGGCATCGCCTTGCTGGATGGCATAAAAAGGTTCTATCCCGTGCCGGAAGGAGGTTCTTATCAAGAGCGTCGCCCAAGCCTTGCCGACATACACTATGGGTATTTACTATCTGCCATTAACTTTCTGTGAGCATATAAAGCGTATTATGAACCAGTATTGGTGGGAGCAAGGTAATGAAGGTGGTGGAATACGATGGATGGCATGGCAAAGAATGTGTACTCCCAAAACTGATGGTGGAATGGGATTTAAGCAGCTAAATGAATTCAACCTTGCGCTGTTAGCCAAACAAGGTTGGCGCCTTCTTACGACTCCAACATCTTTAGCAGCTCGCATTTTTAAAGCTCGTTATTACCTCGAACTGAATTTTTGGATGCAGAAATTGGCTCTAGTCCTAGCTACGTTTGGCGCTCTATTTTAGCAGGCAAGGATATTCTATCGACTGGCTGTGTTAAACGTATCGGGAATGGCGAAGATACCTTGGTATGGAAACACCTTGGTTGCCTGATGTTGACGATCCGTTTATCCACTCCCATGTTTGAACCAGAACCATGGCATGACTGTTAGCGAGCTGATCGATCCTGTGACTAAGGACTGGGACGTGCAGAAGTTAGCAACATGCTTTGAGGATCGGGACATTGATTTGATCCGCAAAATTCCGGTAGCTCCAGTTATAGTGATAGCTGGAACTGGAAAAATGATCTCAAAGGCCAGTATCAAGTGAAGCACGGCTATAAGCTGATCTCTACTATAACTGAGGTTGGTGTGAATACTAACTTTGCATGGAAGGATCTGTGGAGACTCAAAATCCCCCCTAAGGTTCTAAACTTTTTATGGAGATGCATGCATGGTGTCTTACCTACAATGGTAGCATTAGCTTCGAGAAAATGGATGTTGATACGGATTGCCATCTTTGTAAGCAACAGCCGGAGACTCTATGCCATTTATTTGTTGAGTGTACACAGGTTCAACCTCTGTGGGACTATGTGCCTCATCTGCAGTTAGTGACTGATGAAGGTTTTGTTTCTTGGTTCTCAGATTGCTAGAAGTGCCTGATTTAACATTCTGAAGAAGTGTGCGGCAGTGTGCTGGACAATTTGGAAGCACTGTAATGCTTTGGTGTGGAACAGTGCGGATTGGCAGCTCCCTACAATTAAACATGAAATTGCAAACTTGATAATAGAGTGGGAGGAAGGACCGTCGCATGCTAATACCACGTTGCCAACTTCATTTGTTCAAGATCACCATCTGACCGTACCTTCAGGTACAGTCTGTTTCTATGTGGACGCGGCGATTTTCTCAGATTCGGGTAGTGGTTTTTTTGGTGTTTTTATGACAAATAGCAATGGCGATTATGTAGCGGCAAAGAATGGCTCTAGTAGATGCTTGCGGGATGTTTTTTTTGGCTGAAGCTATGGCTGTGAAAGAAACACTGTCTTGGCCAAAGATAGGGGTGATACCAAGTTGGTTATCTATTCTGATTGCCAGCTAGTTTGCAGATGGTTTTCTGGCATGGCAAATGATCTATCCTATGCAGGTTGCGTTCTAAATGAGTGCATAACACGTCGACGACATTTTGAATCGATGTCTATTCAATTTATTCCGAGATCAGCGAATAAGTTTGCTCATGCATTAGCACGAGCTGCTCGTTCACAACCTGGTCCTTTATGTTGGTTATCTTTGATTCCTCCTTGTATTCAGCATTTGTTTTAATAATATCTACTATTCTCTCTTCAAAAAAAAAAAAAATAGGCCTATTACTGGAAATGCTATGTCATTTCAGACCTATTCCATGAACCAAACAACCCATTCTAGTAGAAAAAGAAAAAGAATGGAGTAGAGCAATTACAGCTTCCTCCCACCACTATATATCTTTTCTCTCACTTACATTATCCCATTTAAATTCATAATAATTTTTTTCATACTTAAAAAGAATTTTATACTTATCAATATTCTAAACTTGTTTAATTTTCTGATGATGGGGTGTGAACCCCGTGGGCTCGGGGCCCAAGAAGAAGAAGCGAAGCCCAAGAGGAAAATGGAGTAAGCCCAAAAGAGATACGAGTCAAACCGAGGAGTCGGCTCGACCCGGAAGTCGGCACGAGTAGAAGGTCGGCCTAAACTAGTCGTTAACCGATATTAAACTCCTAATTATTACCCTATTCACTCAATAGGCCAAGTAGCTGTTACCCTACTAAACCACCTATCACTACCCTTCATTTCCCATTAACTACCCAATTAATTACCTAAGTTACTACCTCATCCTAACCCCCCCCCCCCCAACTTAATACCCATAAATCCTAGTAAATACCCCCCAACATCTCTTAGTCCCTTTAGCTATAAAAGGTGGGAGGCAGCAAGATCAAAAGGGGGAAGGCTTGAGGATGGAAGGGTGCATTACGCCACATCACCAAACAAATAATACTCCTACCACTCACTACTCCTTCTCCTTCAAGAAGACATATCATTCATTCCTATATACAAGTACTCTTCCTACACCACTCTCCAAGAGAAGACCACTCATATATACACATGGAAGGACTCTTCCACACCATTCCATCACTCTTCTTTCTATTATTCTTGCTATATTATTAGAAGCACAACACATTGTATAGATATAGCCCTACAAATATGTACAAAGACACCTACAAAATACATAGTGGAGTTAGGCTTGGCACCGCCAAAAGGCCCGTGGTTTTCCTTTCGGTTTCCACGTCAAAATCATCGAGTCCATATTATTTTAGCACGCTTTTTATTGAAAGGTGTATCCTCCAGCTAAAGGTTGTGTTGGACCTCCTTGGGCCCGAAAACCCAAAACCATCACTGGCGCCGTCCGTGGGATCGTGACAAAAGGTTGCGTTTGCCTCTTTGTCTGAGCAATTTCGGCGAGCATCCGGTCACTACGGATGGGAGATTGAGAAGGTTCACGGAGAGCCGTGGACCAAGAAGAGAATTAGAGGAGAATCAAATAAAGAAGCTATGCGTTGAGGTCTATAAGAGGTAACCCTTAAATTAGACGTAATATTTAAATTAAAGTACTCAAAGTTGTTGACAAAGAGTGGTCGGTCCATCACACTGAGGGACTCGGCCGGGGAATCAAGAAATCGGGACGCCGAATAAATGGTTCCCCCACCACGACCCTAACGGTAGACACCGTGGTCAAAGTTGCTATTCCCGTTTTTCTCCTATCATGTGAAAGGCTTGCTCATATAGAAGCATATAAATACCGTGATGTCATATGAGGCTCATGCAAGGATTCAGCAATAAGACAATTTTTAAGGCATATGAAATGCCTTAGCCATCATGCATTCACGTAGCTCAAAGATGATTATTCAAAATGAAATTCTCAAATTGTGAGAATTGAAGCAGCAGTACGTGGCGCACAACAATTCCAAATTAAAAAGCTTCGCTGATGAGTCCACTGAGGCACTGACGAAGGTTCGCCGAGTCGTGAGTGTGCGCTACATATATAAGCATCCTGGCCCAAATATATCTACGCATTCTGCCTTCTTAAAAAAAATACAAAAAAAAAAATACAAAAAAATGGTACTCTCTACCATGAACAGAAAACCGTTGCACAGAAGCTGAGGGCCTAGATACATCGTTGGAGGAATTAGCATGAGAGATGTCACTTGCAATTCGAAACTGCATTCATGAAATGAGCGTGAGAAATGCATTGACGACTGAGGGACTCAACCGGACAATAGCCGGCAAAGTCTGATCGAGGAACTCGGCAGCCACAGGAATTGAATCGGCCACAGGGTTGGAGTCGGCCTCAACGTCGGTTACGAAGACGGAGTCGGAGTCGGCGCATGCCGCAATCGAGAGTCCCCATGGACGTTTGCTCTGAGTTCTTCCACCCACTGCCACCATCAACCACTGCACTCACCTGTTGGCTTACGATCATGTTACACTACAAGGAGAGATCATTTCTATGAGTTCAATTTTGACTTCCCTGTAATGATAAAGAAATGGGGAAACCGGCTAAGCTGAGACATGCGAATCCATTCTTCCACGACCGAGGGACTGGAGAACTACCGGTCAGGGCAGTCCGAATCACTGAATGCGATATAGCAATCGTCTACGGACTCGGACTCGGACTCGGATGGATTATTTTAAACGATTAAAATGCTTTTCCTTTAGTTTGATCTTCTCCCGGATGCCTTTGACACACTTGCCGACTGCTTACGCAGTGTGAAAGAGATCCGATATTGCTCGAAAAATGGCAGGCAGAGCCCCCGGCGATCACTCGGCAGAGTCGCTCGTGGTAGATGAGAGGAGCTTTCGACATTTTTTGGATTGAATCTCAGAACAACGAGGCGGTCATCCCAGCCGAAACCAGCGTCAACCTCGCCAAGGCAACCCAGCCACAACCAGAAACTTACGCACAGCAAGTCAAAGTTGTCAACGCCGTTAAAATTTCTCACTCCGGATAGGCCCGACCTAACTTGTCGAGTGAGAAAGCCGAGTCCAGATAGACTGGCGAACTCCGTAGTCAAGGACTCGGCTATCCTGTGGCATGCTGCCAAGTTGGAATCCGTGGAATCGACCTTGATTACGTCTAGAGTCGGCAAGGAAAGCACTCGGCTAAGGCTTGGGAGTCGGTTTGCGTAGCACTCGGACTATGGAGGAGATGAACGCAGGCATGTTGTTTTCCTTTAAAAGATGGTATTGATCAGACATGCAGGGGGAACGTACATATAGCATCTGCATAACGAAAAAGAAAATTCTATAAGCATGGGGATTATATCAATAGAACCGTCGAGTCAGTCGGAGTTAATTGAAAGTGACATGGAGGCTTTGACTACCAGGATATCAGCTTCTAGGCCACCATGCAATCAGTCGCGGAATTGGAGTCAGTGTTAAAAGAGTCGATGTGCACCATAATCGGAGGTCTCCTTGAACGTCTGATCTACACTGAGTCCTACAGCTTGCATCACTCGCCGGCCTGCACTCAGCTGCTGACTTGCTATCGTGGTATATTGGAGAGGGGATCACTTCTGCGAATCCAATCCTAACTCCACCCTTGACGACTCGGATGATGAGAATGAAGCCAACCGCTCACCTACTGCCTCGCCACTCGGTTCCACCGTTTCCTTATACGCCACTTCTTGTCGCGACCGTTGCCGATTAAGGAGCATCAAAACGTGAGTAATCTGTAATCGTCATGTAGCGGTCGGAGAAATCATAGTTATCTAACCACAAAGCACTAAGGGACTCGGATTGGAACTGCAATTGCTGATCCCGTGGTCGAGTTTTTGCTCCCCGCGTCGAAGGCAATGCACGGTGGAGAACGGTGACTCGGATTGGAACTGCAATTGCTATCCCGTGGTCAAGTTTTGCTCCCGCGGTCGAAGGCAATGCACGGTGGAGAACGGTGACTCGGACTGGAACTGCAATTGCTGATCCCGTGGTCAAGTTTTGCTCCCACGGTCGAAGGCAATGCACGATGGAGAACGGTGAATCCCGCGAAGTCTACACGAATCTTTGACACTTTTAGGAAAAGATACGACAATGAATGATCTCCACCTATAATCAAGCTCAAGAACCAACTAACACACTGTTTGCAAACTGATGAAAGAAGAGGATACGTCTACTTTATATTCAAAGTGCATGGAATTGAAGTATAATGGGCAAAGACAAGTTGAGGGCCAAAATTTTTGTGAGTAAGCCTGCAGCAGTACGTGGTTGTGACAACTTTGGCAAGGAGACAGGGAAAGTACC